GGAAAAAGATTTGGCCTGCCAACTCTCTGAGCTGCTGCATAAGGAAGATATTATGGCTCGACACAGATTGAGGGCGGACTGGCTAAGAGCGGGTGACAGGAACACGGGCTTTTTTCAGGCACGTGCGGCCGCTCGCAAAATCAGGAACCGCATGAGTAGCCTTCGCGCTGCTGATGGATCGGTGTGTGAAACCAAGGAAGAAATACATGCCAAGGTGCAGCAGTTCTATACTAGTCTGTACACTGCGCAAGAACACACTGATATTGAAGCAGTCCTTCACCATGTTCCACATAAAATCACAGAAGCTATGAATGCACAACTAATGAAGCTATTTGTAGAAGATGAAGTGAAGGCTGCGCTCTTTGCTATGGGGCCTACAAAGGTGCCTGGAAGTGACGGATTTCATGCTGGTTTTTATCAGCGGCACTGGGACTTGGTAGGTCCAGATGTCACAATAGCAGTCCTCGGTTTTTTAAATGGGGGACAAATGCCAGACTCAATGAACAACACGGTATTGTTCTTATACCCAAGGTGAGAAACCCATAGAATACCACTCAGTATAGACCAATTTCATTGTGCAATGTTCTCTACAAAATCTGCTCCAAAGTATTGGCTAACCGTTTGAGGGAGTTACTGGATGAGATTAGTGCAGAGGAGCAGAGTGCTTTCATCCCTGGATGACTTATTACCGACAACGTCCTAGCAGCCTATGAGTGCATTCTCTCCATGAAGAGAAAGAAGGGAAAGCAAGGGTGATGTGCGGTCAAAATTGATATGATAAAAGCCTATGATAGAGTAGAATGGGCTTATCTACAAGGAATAATGCAACAACTTGGTTTTCAAGATGAATGGATCTCACTTTTCATGCGGTGTGTGACCACCGTAAGGTTCCAGTAAAGGTTAACGATGAGCTTTTACCGGCCTTCTCGCCCTCAAGGGGGTTTCATTAGGGAGACCCAATCTCCCCATATTTATTCCTCCTGTGTGGGGAGGGACTCTCATGCATGCTGCAAAATTATGATGGAGGATGGATTGATAGGGGAATCAGAGTGAGTTATTCTGCCCCATGGATCTCACATCTTTGATTTGCAGATGATTGCTTGATCTTCATGAAAACTGATGCTCGAAGTGCCACTAGACTGAATGAAATATTGGAACAGTACAGCTTGGGCTCCGGGCAAAGTGCAAACAAGATGAACAGTTTTGTCTATTTTAGCCCTAACAGTGGCACTTCAGTTAAGAGGGGTGTCAAGGCTGCACTCCAAATACAACAAGAGGCCATGTCAGAGAAGTACCTTGGCCCGCCAACGGCTACGGGTAAGATAACAGAGCAACAATTTGAGCATATCAACAAACAGTCGAGGGCAAAGGTGCAAGGGTGGTGTGAGTTGAAGATGTCATGTGCAACAAGAGAAGTTCTTTTGAAGTCCGTGGTCCAAGCTTTACCGGCCTACTACTCACAAAAGGTCTGTGCAAGAAACTGACGACAAATATGTCAAAATATTGGTGGGCTGGGTCACTAGACAGAAAAGGAATGCAATGACAATCGTGGGAAAAGATGTGCATTGCAAAATCAAAGGGAGGACCCGGATTCCGGGATCTTGAGACCTTCAATGATGTGATGTTAGCCAAACAAGCATGGAGACTCCTTGAAAATCCAAACAGCTTGTGTGCACGTGTACTCAAGGGTAGATATTACCCTAATGAAAATTTCCTCACGGCTAGGTGCCCCGAAAGTGCATCCAAAACCTGGAAGGCAATCATCAAATGGAGGGAGATGTTGAAACGGGGGCTCATCTGGCGAGTGGGAGATGGTACACCTACTGAAGTTTGGCATGATCAGTGGATAGAAGGAACTAATTCCATGAAACCAATGGGGTCACAGAAGCCAAATTCCATTCAGTTAGTTTCAGACTCGATTGATCCAGTGACAAATCAGTGGGACGCGGAGACCATTCGGAGTGTGTTCTACCCACCGGATGCGGATGCAATTCGGTGTATGCCAAGACCACGTAGAGTGGGGGCGGATATATGGGCATGGGCTTGGGAGAAGTCTGGCCTCTTCACTGTCAAATCTGCATATTGGCAGACAATGAACCTCAAGCACCAAATAACTGAGGTGGGATCCTCTAATGGAGACGAAGCAATATGGCGTTCGCTTTGGAAGCTTAATGTCCTCCCCAAGATCCGGGTGTTCTGGTGGCGCGTACTAAAGGAATTCTTACCTTGCTATGGCGAGCTTCGACGCCGTCATACCAAGCAGCTACCAAACTGCCCAATGTGTGGGAACGACAATGAAACTTTGTTTCATACCTTGATGGTCTGTGATCATGCCCGGGGCTTCTGGGAAGCAGCTGAGCGTTTCTTTAGTATTACAATACCACAACTCAACCCACTGACATGGTCGCACGGCCTTTTAGATCATCACCTCTTCTAGAAGGACGAGGCTGCTATTATGATCACGGTAATGTGGGCTGTCTGGCACTCAAGGAACATCTACACACACGGGGAAAAATAATACCAACCACGACAGTCCATGATTACCATTGAAGAGATTATCCGAGCCCCTGAAATACCAAGGAAGGACGAAGTTCCGGTTATGGTTAGCCCGAAGTGGCAACCTCCAGAAGTAGGGTGGGTTAAATTTAACACAGATGGAGCAACGAACTTTGAGCGAGGCAGAGGTGGAGCAGGGTTTATCGCCCGTGTTCATCATGGCTCGTTTGTGAGAGCGGGCTGCACACGGTATGATGGCATCACTGACCCTCTGTCCATTGAACTCCTCGCGTGCAGAGACGCACTATCTTTGGCGCATGGGATGGGACTCCAGCATGTGGTGATCGAGACAGACTGTCAGGAGATACAATGCCTTTGGGAGATACCACAGAAGTCTAGCGGATTCCACCTCATAAGAAAGATGAAGGAGATGAGTGTTCTGTTTCAGGGATTTAAGCTACGGTTTTCAAGTCGCCATACTAACTTGGTGGCTCACCGCTTAGCTGGGCTTGCTTTACATCATTCTGTTATCCAACAATTGTATGAAATAATCCCTGGCTGGCTGACTGGTTTCGTACAGTCAGACATGCTAGCGCCTGATGAATAAAGTGCCGACGGGCGTTTAGCTTAAAAAAAGAGTTTACCTGAAAGACAAGAAACAAATTCACTCCATGCTGGCTAGGCTAGAGAAACTGTGGCAAGACGATGGTAAAAAGTGGATGCATATTTTGAATTCTGGATACAGTCTCTTCTAGGGGCAGATATGACCCATGATCTCAAACACAATACATCATAAATCAGAATGAGGAGCCTGGGAAGATACACGAATGGATCACAAAAAACTAACACACACCTGACCTACACACACCTTCACCGGTGGTGCTGCCGCTTCGCCGTCTCTACTGAAAATCCATAGGTGTGCGAGCAATGCCCATATGAGCGTTATGAGCTCGCCCAGGCGATGGCCTCTGAATGACCGTCAATGTTGTCTGATGGAGCGATGTACAACATCATCTCCGACCAAAAGCCGGCAAGGAGCTCCCACTCCTTGCAGGGGCTCACCGCCGCCGCCGCCACAACGGTTCGGTCCATAGTTTAAAATTTCTCGAAATTTCCGAAATCTCGACAATTTCGGAGGGGTGCAAATTTTTTGCCTTTCGTTCAAACAATTTCGGTTTGTTTCACTTTTTACATAAAAACAAACATGGATCAGTTTGAATCAACATGACTTCCAGTAGTGCAGCTGTAGGATAGTTTTCTTCCAATCACTAGGTACAAAGTTTGATTCATGATGCATCCACTTATTTTAAAATTTGCACCTAATAAATATTTTTGGCAATGGGGGGAACCACTATTTGCTGACCATGGGGGGAACCATCAGGTTAGATATGCACTTTGTTTAACTTTCTACTACACTTTGCTTTATCTAGATGTTTAAATTTCAAAAGATCGAATTCAAACAAAAAATTCAGTGATTTCGTACATTTCGAGGGTGAGCGAAATTTTTGCCACGTCGAAATCGTAAACTATGGTTCGGTCCGGCTGGAGCAGCAAGCCGCGGAGGCTCAGCGCCCTACACACACGCTCCAGAATGCTACCGTGCCGATGATACCATCGGTGACCACGGTCGCGTGCTAGTCCATCTCCCACAGAATGGTGCAGCCGATGCTAACTCACGTGCCACCGTGCAGGAGGTATGTTTATCTGGAAGACAAGAAACATGTTCATTCAATGCTAGCTAGGCTAGATAAACTGAGAAACTGTGGCAGGACGATGGTAAAAGTTGATGAATATTCGAATTTGAATTCTGGATACACTTTGGGCACTCATGACCTCAAACACAATACATCATAAATCAAAATCAGGAAAGTGGGAAGATACACGAATGGATCACAAAAAACCGAACACACACCTACACAACTTCAACGGCGATGCTGGCTGGGTCGCCGGCTCTACTGAAAATCCCCAGGTGTGCGAGCAATGCCCATATGAGCGTTATAAGCTCGCCACCGCGGGCAATGGCCTCTGAGTGACCGTCAATGTTTTCTGAGGGAGCGATGTACAGCATCATCTCTGGCCAAAAGCTGGCGAGGAGCTCCGATGCCATGTTGGTCTCTCCTTGGTTCAGCTCTACCAACTCTTGTCCGAGCTTGGCACCATCCTTGAGCACCTCATGATTCTGTGAGGCGCTCATCAGCTCCACCAGCTGTTGATACTCCACTTCAGGTCTTGACATGCCGGCGAGGATGTGTTCGGCCTTCTTCTTCACGGTCTTGTACAAGCTCTTGCACCACTCGTCGTCTTCTGGAAGCAGCTCAGGAGAGTTGGCCACCAAGTAGGCGCAGTACCGGGACAGGTGAATGGCAGCGGTCTTATGGTCAGAGGGAGGTTGACATGATCCAGCTGACCTGAGTTCAAGAATGCTTGTGGCGATGTGGCACACAAGAATGGTACTGGCTATACCTTTTGTGCCATCGACCACCCAAAGGAGGTTGTCACCGGTCTTCAACTGCGGCCTTGTGCACAGAGATGGCATGTGGTTATTGTCTCGGCTTCTCTCGTAGCTTCTCAGTGCATTCAGGATAGCAGCCTTCACATCTCTTGGCACCTTGACCTTCTGACCAGGTTTAAGACGACGAAGCAGCCCGATTGGAGTCGTCCTTGGGTGGAGCACCAGTATTGAACATTGGTTCATCTTGTCCTCCCAATGCTTTAATATCTTGCATCTACGCTGCAAAACATGCCTAATACATTTCTGGATGATAGGAGATTTCTGCAAAGAAGGATGGTTTATGTGGCGGCAAATTAGGGCCACTTTTGTCCAGTTAGAGCAAATGTAAGAAGCAATCTCTCTTATCTCAGCAAGGACAGCCAGTGCAATAAGTACAGCCACCTGTACAAGGTCAAATGTTGCATTTCCAAAGTGCTGACCGTCTGCTACGACTGTACTGCCTCTGCCTCGCAGTTCTCCAGTCCGATAAAGGCATTGATAGATGCAATATATCAGCGTTGATGTGTTATTCCCATAAGCAAACTGAAGATATACTAAAACTAAGCAAGAACCAATGCCTGAGAGTGAAATTAATATGCTCAGTATGGGCATCCAGCTCTTCGAATATGTGATTGCCAGGGATGAATAATAAAAATCATGAAGAAAAGAAAGCTCAGATTCAACCAGTCGAAGTAACCTCTCATCATCGCTGTCCTCAAGTAACATATGCCGTAAAAAGTTAGAAGCTTTGGTGAAGCCAATCTCAGCATTTGTGTACCTGGCGAACCGACACCTTAAAAGCTTGGACAGTGCAAATGAGAGGCATATATCTTTGAGCGGTGACGTCAAATTGAGATCACGCAGGTCATCCAGCTGCCAAACTTTGTCAAGGGTCACTAAGCCGCATGTATTGGGCATCAGTGCGAAGCTATAACCATGAGGCTGCTTATCCACAGATAATGTGTCTTCGCCCATAACTATTAGTGGAGGAGGCATGTCCTGATAATTATCTTGTAGCTGCTCCATGTATCCAACAATAAGACGAGGATTGCATCCAATTGCTAATGATTTTCTGGCCTTGTACCATGCAGAACACTTGAAAAGTAGCTTTGCAAATGTGAGAGCAAATGGTGGGATAACCATCAATCCTTCTAGAGAAAATGCATATACCAGAGACCACTTGAGGTAGCTACGAGTATTATTATAGGATAATACTTCATAATTCAATCCTATGTTATAGATCATAAGGTAGGAAGTCCACATTGCCTGCACAAGTAGTACCCCAGATGGGCCAATATTTCGCCCTTCTCTAGGATCACTGACCACTACCAAAGTGGTGCTGATACCAACCATTTGAACAGGCCAGTCCATAATAAGACTAGGTTCATGTGTCTACTTGGATCGCACTGGCCTATTATGATTTCTCCGGCAAAAAGGATAATGCCATTCTGATTACCAATGGCAGATAGGACATAGGAGATTATGGGAATGAACAATGCAGTGGCACCCAAGAAGATGTAGCGGGTTAATGGATGGTGGCGATAGCGATGACCGTATGCACCTATGCCAACCATGACTCCCATCAGGAAGGCGTTCACCACAAGGAGGGCATTGACTCGGAATATCTGCCCACTGACGTGCTTAGAGAAGCTCTCCGATGCAGCAGGTTTGCATGTCACAACCCCGCCCATTGATCTAGCTGGAATGTGAAAACTGCTCTTAGTAGATAGCAGAATTTAAGATGGGAGATTCAATCAAAAGCTACTAGATAGCTTGGAGAAGTGAGAAGAGAGAGAGAGAGAGACCAACAAGGTAGAGACTAGTGCAACGAATTCAGATGAGCTAATTAAGCATTAACTGCTTGAAAATTCTACTAATTTGAACAAGAGAGGATTCAGTGATTTACCCAAAATGCCAATCGAGTGCTCTCCGTATAAATGGTACAGATTGGATGATTTATCGAGGCCTACATATGTCAGCGATTTTAATTTGTTCAGAATGAAGCAGAGCCCAGGAGGCTTCTTATGGAAACTGAACAAGAAGGGGGAACAGAAGAAGGATGTCAGCTGTCAGGCATTAGAAGAAACAATCAACCAGGGCAAGCAATAACATACAAAAGTTACCAAAGCTTCCAGTCTGATGCAATTACCAGCAATGGAGGGGATTCCCCTAGCTAGGCGCCGTGCCGTGACGGGATAATGTTTGCTTGCTGCATCAAGAGAGGGTAAGAAGCAATGATTTAAAAGAAGGAGATGGAGTAGATGCCCTTTTTCTTTCTTAAATTTGGCGCTGTACAAGTGTGTGCTTTTTCCACACAGCATGATGCCAAATCAACTGCGGATGGATTGCCCAAAGGATGCCTAACTTGTGCTCCCTCCGTTCCTAAATATTTGTCTTTTTAGATGTTTCAAATGGACTACCACATACGGATATATATAGATATATTTTAGAGTGTAGATTCACTCATTTTGCTCCGTATGTAGTCATTTGTTGAAATCTCTAGAAAGACAAATATTTAGGAACAGAGTGAGTACATGTTTCTTTCCGGGTGAGATGCCTAGCTTGTATGGCTAGGACATGCAATAGACAAACGAAAAGGAAAAGCAAAGGCACATGGCCGGGTAGATTGGTTGGTTGAGTAATCGTATCACTTGATCAGTTGAGTAGATTCTTCTTCTATTTTCTAGGTGCATTTTGCTCACGTACTATTCTTATCTCCTTTTGTGTATCCATTTTAAATTTATTATTAAGTTTTGTGTCGCCATGGCTGTGAATGCATGCAATGGACCAACAGTGAGGTAATTCTTTTTTGGCATAACGTCGGTTCTTGTTTGTTCCTGTAATTATATGGATGCAATGTTTGAAAATGTGAAGCAAAACAGTCATATGAGACGATGCTACTACTCGCTTCAAGATGTTTCTATCGATTTCGATCCGATCAGTTGTTGTTCCATGAGTTGGGCTTGTTGATGAAAAAGAGAAAAACTTTTGATTAACTAACTATAAAATGGCCGGCGCATATGCGCGGGCAACACATCATACTTTCCTTTTGTTTGAATAACTCATAAAAGAGCTTCATATGAAAAATGAATGATATATAGGACATGGAGTATGTGAGCTCGAGCTCACATGCACACTTTGCTATGGTAAAAATTCGACCCGTTGCTCCTTCTTTTTCTTCAAGCCTCCAAGATCTCGCATCATATACAACAAGCACATCGAGCGTCCAACAACCAGAGGCAATTCCAGTGATGTAGTTCCCAGCTGGCAGGACGCTGGATGAGTGTTACATCATACATCAACCCTATGTTATAGAACATAAAGTAGGAAGTCCACATTGCCTGCACAAGTAGTGCCACAGATGGGCCAATGTTTCGTCCTTCTCTAGGATCACTTTTTCTTGCGGGGTTCTATAGGATCACTGACAACTAGCAAAATGGTGTTGATACCAACCATTTGAACAAGACCCGTCCATAATAAGACTAGGTTCATGTGGACAACTGCGTCGCACGGGCTATCTCTACTCCATGGGCAAAAAGAACAAAACGCCACTCGGATTACCAATGTTAGATAGGACACCCAAGAAGACGTAGCAGGTCAATGGATGGTGGCGATAGCGATGGTCATATGTGCCTATGCCAACCATGACTCCCATCAGGAAGGCGTTCACCACAAGAAGAGCATTGACGCGGAACATCTGCCCGATGAAGTGCTTAGAGAAGATCTCCGATGCATCAGAGTTGCATTCATCAACTGTTCGTTCACCCAACCCCATTTATCACTAGAAAGATCTGAACATTAGTAGCTAGCACAATTTAAGATCTGAACATCAGGGTTGCATACCGTATTTACCATTCTTACTATTTACTCGTCGATTAGTCTACTCGAAAAGGTGCTGATATTTCCAACATGAGATTCAGTCAAGAGCTAATAGATAGCTTTGACAAGTGAGAAGAGGGAGAGAGACCAACAATTAAGGTAGGGACTAATGAACGACTTCAGATGAGTTAATTAAAGATTAACAACTTAAAAATGTACTAATTCAAACAACAAAGACAAGTCAGTGATTTACCTGAAATGCCAATTTAGTTCTCTCCATGTGAATGGCAGACATTTGATAATTTATCGAGGCTCCTATATGTCGGCTCCTTAAGTGGATGGTGCGGAGTCGTTCTTGTAGTTTGTCGATCGCTAATTTGTTCGCTATGATGTTTTTCCCCGCTTATGCATAGCTTTGGTCCTTACGACTTTGCTATTTGCTGGTGGGATTTTATGTGTTTGTGTTGGTTGTGTGCATCTTAGCTATATATGCAGGGGCCGGGTGTGTATTCATTGTGTTTGTATCCACTTGATGCTTCACTATGATGCAATAAAATCCACCCTTTGTGGAAAATGTCTGTTAGGATTAATCTTGACCTGTTTTGTACACGTCCAAGTGTGCCGTGATGGGTTTGTTGCATGTCACGTTAGTACTAGTAATGCATATGATAGTTAAGATGAGTATTAGTCAAGAGAATAGGCTGAGTTAGTTTGCATGCATGAGTTGGTAGCTGGACTCGGCCGGGTCGTATGCGGCCGTTGAGGAATAGTGGTGCGTGTGCGTGGTGTTAGTGGCCGGGAATGGCGCCTGGTTAGTGCGTGAGTGCATGACATAGGTGGCTGGGTCCTTTGTATATAAGTGTTGTATTGGAGCAAGGCAAAGGCAAGGCCGTGAGGGCTGAGCAGTGAAAGGATGTAGCCACCGTGGGTCGCCAAGGGAGTGTCTTTGGCAAAGCCGTTCCTCTTCTTTGATACATGTGCGTGTTGTGTGAGGGTGTGCTCTTGTGTGAGACAAAAATGAAGAGAAGAGAGTTGTGTGAGGCAAGATGTAGAAGAAGAAGCGGCGCTACGAGGAGACGGCGCCAACAATGTCGGCTCCTTAATTTCTTCGGATCGAAGCAGGACAGAAAGGGCCTATTTATGGAAATTGAACAGGAAGGGGAAAACAATGAAGCAGGATCTCATCAAGCATTAGAAAAAACCATCAACCGAACCAGGGTAAGCAATAAAATAAAAGATCACTATTTAATTACCAACAATGGAGGGGATTCCGGACAATGTTTGGTTGCTGCGAGGGGCGACCTGGCTGCATCAAAAGAGGGTAGGAAGCAATGATTTAAAGGAAGGAGATGGAGCAACGATAAGCTGCTTAGCACCACCATAATGCCCTTTTCTCTTTCTCTTACTTTGGCGCCATAGAGAGTGTGCTTTGCTTTACCCATGCAATCCTGTTCTCAGGGCCGGCCGATGATGCCAAAAGGATGCCTAGCCTGTTCTTTTTCTTTTTCCTACGATGCCTAGCTTGTAGGAAACGATATAGAAAAACCAAAAGGAAAAAAGAAAAGATATATGGGTAGAGACACACTGCTTTGTAGCCAATTCCATGTCTCCACAATATTGCGAACTAACGAGAAGATAAGCGTTTGTGTTCAGCGTGCCGGCGGAACGCTTGGCCGGTCGCGCCCACGCGCGTGTCACTTATCCTCTTAACCACCCATCCCTACCTTATCCTCTTAACATAGTCCACACGTTTCTATTCTTCTTCCCCTTTTACATTGCTTCTTTTCATTTCCTCTTTCTTCTTCCACAGAGCACTGCGTGGGGTGTAGTTAATTGAACCTGTAGTGCGCCATTAGTAGCAAAAACAGATGCACCACTAGCAGGCCTATCTTCATCTCGAGGATCGCTGCTTCAAGCAACGGTGGGCGCACGTGGTCCACACCACCCTTGCGAGTATTTCTTTGGAGCATTGGTGTGTCATTTTCAAGAAAAAATTGAATTTCGGTTCGGTCAAAAGGAGATGCGCGAGTCATCTAACAAAAAAGAAACACCTGAAAGGAGACACGCGACGTGTGAGGTAGGTGCGAGTGGCGCCTTTAACGGGATTTCGCTTCAGCCCGAGAGGTTCTATTTCTTCTTTTGAGCTAATTAATTAAGGAACATGATAAGTGACACACGTCATGTAAGATCACATGACAACTCTGAACATTTTTTATGACAAGTATAGTTACACGAGGATGACAACTTTAGTTAGCAAACATGGATACTTTCATGCTACAGTTTATTTTTAACAGAAACTTGTCGTGTGTCGCTGGAATTTGCCTCCTTGCATGACTAGAATTGCCATAAAAAAAGTCAGCGCCGGAGTGCCACACATCTGACACGTGACATTTATCATTCGAGTTAATTAATTAGTTTTGCACATAACCGGTTAATTTGGTGACCTTTTGGGAAATTTGACCACGGAGTGCAATTTGACCTGAGATTAAGCATATTGACCCGAGATTAAGACATAGTGACCCGAGATTAAGGAAAAAAATTAAAAAAAATTT